GAGTTCAACGGGAAACGAGGAGTCCCCCAGCGAATCCTCCGACGAGTAAGTCACAGAGGTGAGGGTGGTGAAGATATAGAGAGAGGATGGAGATAGAGAACTTAACATTTTCTTCGTCTTAGAAGCCTGTTTATATCTTTCACTCATCATTTCCTTATCCACTCGAAGCTGTCATGTTGGCCAAAAGTCTATGTTCTAACTTGCTTTGTTCACGGTGAGGCTGCTCTGTTCCAACGTGAAGGGTTATCGTAATAAATGCTGCAGGGGAACTCATTAATGGCTGACGTGTGGTACAATAACTCTGCAGGATCTTTGTCTGCTGATGTGACTGGTTCTTCACTTGCCAAGTGTTTAGATGTCATTGGTGCTTGGTGCAACGTTGGTTTTAAAGAATATTGGGTTTTAGTATTTGAATCATGGATTGGGCCTTAAGTGGTGGGCCATGTCCTTTATGGGGCGAACCCATGTCAAATATTTTTTTAGATCTTAAAGTCTCATTAAATTGTTAGTAGTCAAAATTATCTTTCAAATAATGATTGTTCATCATTTATGATTCTTTATAAAAAAAAATGATGATTTGACATTTATTTTGATTTTCAAAATTTTAAAACATCAACTTTCAAATTTATAAAAAAAAAATATTATGTGCAAAAAATTTAAAAAACTGAATTATTTTTTTGTGTAAAACTGAAAATTTTGTGTCTACAAAGGAGTAAGATGATGGAACATTGATATGCAAAACTGAAAAAAAAAATTAAAAAATAAGAAAACTGATAATATTCTCTATTTTTTATTAGATTGTTGAATCAAACCAATAATTAGAAAGGCAAATAATGAAACAGTTATATGTAACATTACTGTACAAAATTGATAATATTTTTAGGTTTAAAAATTAGAATAAACTAATAATATTTTCAGTTTTACTAAATAAAACTTATTTGCTCAAAAAAATCTTATATAAGACCTGAATTACCATAATATTTAGAAATAGGATTTTTAAATAATTAACTCTAGTTTTTTCCTCTACAATTTAATAGTTCCATGGAATTCTTTTTTACAAATTATATTAATTATAAAATTATTTAATTTAAACTCAATTACAAAGCACTTAATTTTATTATTAATTAATTTTTTTGTTTATTATATTGACAAAAAAAATGTAAATAAAAATACGACATCACCTAAAATAAGAAACAAAATGACCATATTTTACGTATTTTAATGAAATTGTATAAACAATTTAAACATGTTTGACGTTTCTGTTGAAAACAACATTAATATATTAAAATGCATAACTAATTTAAATCGTGTGAGTTTAACGTTAATTCAACTAATTTTATTTTTTGTTTTATATTATCATATTAATTTAAAATTCATGTAAAGAATGAGATTACATTAACCCTCAACTTTTCCATTACTTATAATCATCTTAACATAGTCTAATGTTTTTTGGTGTTTTTTATTTTGAGTAATGCTAGAGATCCCAAATATTCTATTAAAAGTTTTACCAAATGTCTCACATGGGTGTGGGACCCACACAATATGGGTCCCATGTGGGTCACACACCCGTGAGACATAGTAGAATTTTTGAGACTTCTGGTATTTTTGTTTTATTTTCAGATCACATTTTTTTAATAATTACAATCGTGTATTTAAAATAAATAATTGTTAAATGCGAAAGGTCACCATTCCCAACACTATTAGTTCTAACAACAATGATTTATCCCACTAAAAATATCACCACTAATAGCACTAATGCATTAAAAAAGTTAAAAAAAAAAAAAAAATACAACTCCAAGATCAAAACATCACATCATTAATGACGAGACCCACTGCCACCTAATTAGTGGGAGCACTAATTAGTGCTCCCAAGCATTTTTCTAGTTCTAATCGCTAATCACTGCCTATGTAAAATCTCATCTGACACTCTCATTGGCTCCTTCAACCAGCGGGTAGCACTAACCCCCACCTTTATGAAACATCACCATTATGAATCCCCCAATACTATTATCAACCCTCGTGTATTACTGCAATCACTAACCATTCAAACTATCAAATAAATAAGTAGTTGTGTAAAGTTCAATCACCAAATGGTGTTCGTTGGTGGTATTTACGATCATGATCTAGTTGATGACGTTTGTTGGAAAAGTATGGTAAGTGACTAGATATTTATGGAAGATATGATATACAGTGACGGTCATGAAGATAGTAAAAGAAGGGTTTGGGTGATTGATTGAGGAGGTTGGTGGAAGCAACTCAATATATTTTTAATGGGTCATGCTACATCCCCTAAAAAACATCCCCCTAATTTCCATATTAAGTAAAGAAAAGAAAAAAAAAAGGAAACAGTTGCCAGAAATGAAAATTAGGGGGATTAGGGGTGAGGATTTTAGGGCTACAAATTATTTCCCATTTTTAATATTAAAAGCGGTACTCTTGCTAAAATTATGCGGGAGATGGTGTGTACTTAAAGGTGTGGTGCAAATTTTTTTCACCTATACTTTCTATTTATGATAAATTACAGTAATCCCTATGAAATATGAAGAAAATGAAACATATAACATTGTTTTGTAATAATTATTATTGTTATACTTTTTAGTAATAAGGATTATTTATGGTAAATTACGGTAATCCCTGATGAGATATGAAGAAAATGTAACAGATTGCATCTCAGCTTGTTTGTTTTTGTTTTTCAGAAAACACTTTTCAGAAAATTTTACATTCTTATTTTTCGTTTTTTTTTTATTTTTATCGAACTTTTTTAATATTTTAAGTAATTTTTTTACTTTTTAGACACACTTAACATAAATACACCTAAAAAGTAAAAAAATTATAAAAAAAATCTTTTAAAAATTCACTAAATACCAAAAATATAAAAAAATACAAGAATTCAGTATATTTTTTGCATTTTTTTGTATTTATTAATTTTTTAAAATATTTTTTCATAAATTTTTTACTTTTTAGATACATTTAACTAAGGTGCATCTAAAAAAGTAAAAAAAAATATTTAAAATTTAAAAAATATTCACTAAAACCAAAAGAATATGAAAACCAAAAAACTCAATTTTCAAAAAACTTAATTCAGAAAACTTAAACCAATCACACTGATTGTTTTTATATAATTATATTGTTATTCTTTTTATTTAGGCCTTGTCTAGCAAGTGATGTTTTTAATTTAAAAATCAAAAAATTACCAAAAAAAAAAATCTACAATTTTTATCTTATAAACCTCTGCACACTAAACAACAGTGTACTATCACAGTGTTACTAGGCAGCAGTGTCTTGATACCTATTATAACCTACAATATGAATTGATATTTACAAATATATATTGTTTATATATGTTTTCAAATATATTGTAATGTTTTATATGTACTAGGTAGCATCCAAAAAGTTCATCATAAACATATTAATTTTTTTTATATCATATTTCATTTAAAAATTCAAAAAAATAATTAAATAAGGCCGTTCCCAAACGAGGCCTTAATAAGAAAAAGTAGAAACTAATAGAGATGGTGTGAAAAAAATAAAATAAAACATATATATTTGTAAAATAAATATGTATATAATATAAATTATTAATAAAAATTAAATATTATACTGTTTAAAATCATAAGAGAAATTAATTTAATTATATAAAATTGATGACACTTCTATTTTTTTAAAAAATGTAAAACAAAAGGGGTTTGCGTATAGATTATTATAATGGGTCCGTTTGGCAAGTTAGTTTCGGGCTATTTTAGTCACAAAAGATAAAATAGGTTATTTTAACCATAACAAACAAAATATCACATTCAACCCATAATTATTAAGACTGTTCAAAAATCCGTTCAAACCGGTAATCCGGACCGAACCAAACCGAATCGTACGGTTTGGTTCGGTTCTATTAAGAATTGGTTCAGTTTCGAATTAAGAAATATGAGAACCGTAAAAACGGTTCGGTTAATGGATTTCATGAAAAAATCGCGGTTCGAACCGAACCGAACCAAATTTTAAAAGATATATATATATATATATAATATCAAGTTTTATTTTTATTAATTAGTTTTTTATAATTTTAATGATATTACGATGGTATATATATGTAATATTAAGTAATGCCTTAATATTATTAGTTTTTATCATGAGTTAAATGTAATTAGTTTGAGTAATTATTTTGCTAATATTAACAATTTATTCTTGTAAATAGAAATTTTTGGAACCGTAAACCAAACCGAAACCGAACCGTTTTTTCGGTTTGGTTCTGGTCCGGTTTTACAAGTGTAACGGTCTGGTCTGGTTCTCAAAATCACAGAACCGTTAGAATCGGTTCGGTTCTTGGATTTTCTCAAAACCGAACCAATCCGGACCGTGTACACCCCTAATAATTATTACACTATTCTCTCACAAAAAGTCAAAAAAGTCAAAAAATCAGAAAATCCTTTCCAAATCAAGCTTTTTAGCTCAGGTTAAAATAGTCAAAAAAATCAAAAAACTAAGGCCCCGTTTGTTTTCAGAGATAGAATGAAAGGGATTCATAGTGAGGGGATTAATAATGAGGAGATTGTTAGTGAAGGGATTGATAGTGAAGGGATTAATAGTGAGGAATTGTTAAATTATTTTTATATAAAATAATAAAACAAATAAAAAAAATATAAAAAATTAAACATTAATATTTTAAAAAAAAATTCCAATATATAAAAAATAAAAAATAATAATATTTTTTTAATCCCTTCACTATTTTTCTAATACCATCTCTATCTGCTCCTTATCAATTTCCCTTCTAAGGGGACTACTAATACCAAGAGATTAATAATTCTCTCCTCATATCTCAAAACAAACACCCTATTAATAATACCAAAAAATTAATAATCTCAATTTCCTCCTTATAACCCCAAACAAACGGAGCCTAAAAAACCAACCAACCTCCCAAACGGAGGCAATATGTATTTATTTTTGCTGGTAATTTTCACCTTACTTGAAGATGCTCTAAAGGGCCAAAAATAAAATTATAGCAATCTGTTCAGATCAAAAACAAAAAATATTCTAGTAATCTGTTTCCCCTCTCTCTCTCTCTCTCTCTCTCTCTCCATATTCTTCGCATCTCTGGATCTTCTTAACAGCTCAATCCGCGTGCTCTCCTGTTTTCAATTCGTGCTCTTCTCCAATTCCCTCACCTGCACTTCCTTCAATTCCACCCTCTTCTCTCTTCAATTCCGGTCGCCGGAGACTCCAGATCTGACCGGAAAGCCAACAGCCGGCAGATTTCTTCTTGTATTGCGGTGAAAGAGATTGTATTGTTGAGGTACGTGTTTAAATTCACGCTAATACGTTGATTTTGATGATTTTAGTTTGGAAATTGTCGAGGAAAAGCTGGATTATTATGAGTTGCAAGATCTGGTTCGCTTCTCGATTGTGTTAGGTTTTTTTGGCTCGAATCTGTTGTTCAGAGGAAGATCATTTGGTTATTGAGATGGTTTATTGTAGGCAAAATGATTTTGTTGATGTGAAAGGGTTCGTTTTTCTATTTCAGGATCTGGTTTGGTTGTTTGTTATTATTTTGATGGTAAGATCTAGATGGATGCCGTTGTTTTATTGAACTCGAGCTAGTTCAGCAATCAGTGTTGATGAACAGTTGTTTGTTGCTGTTAATTTGTGTGGATTGATTGTCAATCTGGTGGGCACATGTCATATTTTAGCTGCTTTATTAATATCTGATAGTTGTGTTCAATATGGTGCATAAATGATTCATTTATGAATAAAAGTAATCTGATTTGAATGATTGGGATCATGGCCTTGCATTACTGATGGTAGCTTGTTTGACGGTGATCCTCTTTGTAGATCCAATTTTGAATAAAGTGAGATCTTGGGGGGTTAACCGATGAAGGACGGGATGATAGAGTGCAGCGTCTGTCATTCCAAGATAGTGTCTCCAAATACCAAAGCTGTGTCAAGGGCTTATGACAGATATAGGAGCAAGGTATCATCAAAACAACGGGCTCTCAATGTCCTCTTGGTTGTTGGTGACTGCGTCTTAGTTGGTTTACAGGTGATTCTATTTCTTTGATCATGTGCAAGTTGCTACTGTTTGATAATATTCTCATAAAAGGACAATTAGGAAAAATTTGATTGGCAATGTGGCATTTATTTGTCACTCCTGTTTGTTTGGTGCATACAATAAGGTCTTCATTCTCAATATAAGGATGCAAATTGTTTGACAACAAAGCAGAACTGTGTTTTAGTGACTTCCTTCTATATACTTGGTGACAGAGTCCATGTTACTGTTTCTCTTTATGCTGTCAACTCTTCATTCTAGTTGGTCCATTGATGACTAATAACTTGATAAGCTCTGCTAAATAACAAATTTTGAGAAACTAGCTTGGTTTCACTGTGGATAATAAACATATTTACTATCTAATGACTAAATATTTTGTTTTTTGAAAAGTAAAGATTTTATTTTAAAAAAGTGCCAAGGGGCACACCCTAGTGCAAAGAAAAAGAAAAGACAAAAAAGCAAAGGGAAAAGGAAAATCCTCATCAATGACAAACAGTAGGTAAGCCCTTTTTCTCTTTCATATAGTCGTAATTGATCAAAAAGTGTTTTAAATCTCTAATTTTTCTTTGAAGCTGATATATTCCTACCCTTACTCTTCTTGTTTTGAATTAAGCACTTGCCTCCACGTCTTGCCAATGTCTTCCACCTATATTTGATTTATCCACAAGCTCCAAACTTCTTCTTTCTCAACACATCCAACCTATGTACATCCTTTAGAAGATGGTAAGACAGCTAATAAGGGTAACCAGTCACCTCTAAGTCTAATCCTTTGTGTTAATGACACTTAACATACTCCCACAATTTTCTTATCCTTAGGATTAGGCCCCGCCAACCAAAAGTCACCATTTAACAGCAATTCCTCTCATAACTTCATAACATTCGACCAAACAACAGTAGACCCGGCCCCACAACTGATCCCCTGATCTATTTCTTGATTATCGCTTCCTGACATCATCAATGACTCACTCCCACCTTCCCAAATAACCTAGGAAGCACAGATACGGATACGGGATACGGATACGATACGATACGGCAATATGACAAAATTTGAAAAACTAGGATACGGGTACGGCGGGGATACGTTCGTAAAAAATATTATTTTAATAATATTTAGTAATGCAGTATGTATAAAAATAAAACTTAAAGTAAAAGACAACTTGATAAAGAATAAAGATTCCTACAAAACTGAGAATCTTCAAAGTCAATAGCTTCAACTTGTTCCCCTTCATCAGTGAATATCACAAGACCTTAGCTAAAGCCAAAGCCAAAAAACCATTCTTAAATAAAAATTTCAGCAAATATACTTTTTTAAGTCATCAATGATAGCCTAGGAAGCACGGATACGAATATGGTGATATGGGGATGTGGATATGGCGATATGTCAAAATTTGAAAAAGTATGATACGGGTACAGCGGGATACATTCATAATTTTTTTTTTTTTTTGTGATTTTAATAATGTAATTTGCATGAAAATAAAACTTAAAGTAAATTAATAAATAAAGAGAGGGATTCCTATTAACCTAAAAGTGCTCAAACATTCATAAAACATCCAAAACTAAAAGCAAAAGCAAAAGCAAAAGCAAATGCAAATGCAAACGCAAATTAAACATCATCCTTACATGCCAACACCAAAAAAAGAATGAGAGCAGAGAGAAGAAACGTGAGAGAGTGAGAAAGCGAGAGAGAAGTGAGAGAGACAACAAGGATACATCAATTTGTCAAATTCTATTACTTAAGCTCTTACTATATTCCTCTTATGAAAGAACTAAACAAAAAATTATAAGTAATATGTAACTTCAAGTATCCGATACTTCAAAATTAAGTATCCGATACTTCAAAACTAATAAAAAATTAATTAAGAAGTATCCGATACTTTTAAGAAGTATCCGATACGTATCCGCGAGTATCGGTATCCGATAAGTATCTGATACGGATACGTCATCCTTTTTGAAGTATCCGTGCTTCATAGCAAATAACCCATTGACAAAGATTCCATCCTCTATCCTAGCTCTCTAACTCCCTGCAAACCCTCATCTTCCATGTCCCCCAATCCACAATAGTTTGCACCAACCCTTTCCAACTCACCCTTGTCTTCACCCTCTCCTTCAATTACAGCCCACCATCTATTGATATGAAGATGTTGATTGAAAACCCCACCTTCGGATCCTTGGCCTGCACACCCTTGCTGATTGGGAGTTAAGGAATTAATCGAGTTTTCAGAAGAGAACATGTACCTTTGTCCGAGATGGATTTGAGTGCCCAATGTGTTTTGAAGTTCGAAGGAGGTGCAGTGGCTCATGAGGTGAAATCCCAAGTTGTTTATAATTATGCAATGCTGAGTTTTTTTTTATTTTTTGGTTGTTGAAGTTCAATGGATTTGGTGTACTTGGATTGAATATTGTTTCAGAAAGGCCTAAGTTAGTGCTGAGAATGGGTTTGAGTGTACTAGGCTATGCGGTTGGTTGGGTTGGGGGATGTGGGTTGGGTTTTGGCATGTTGATACATCTATATATATATTGGCTTGGGCTGGCTGTTTTAGTGATTTTGGGCTGGCTGGTTTGGCTAGTTGGGTTCTGGTTGGGAAAGGTTGGGTTTGCTTTTGTTGGTCTGGATGGGTCGATTCAAACATAGATGGGTTATGGGTCTGGATCAGGTTAAGATATTGGATGGGGCCCCAAGGTTTGAATACTGGGTTAGGTGGTCCTTAGGAATCATGTTTAAGCTGGATAACCCCTTTCATGGTCTTAAATTGGTCTTCTACTTCATGATCAATTGAACAACTACGACAATGATAGAACTAACAATTGATGACAGCGTCAGTGAATGACAAAAGTGGAAGAGATTTTGGCAAAAAACCACTGTAGTGTTTGCCGTCTGATGGTTGTCTTCTCCAAAACAACAAAGTTGATGTCCTTTGTTGGAGGTAGATTGACTAATAAGCAATAGGCAACGATGAGAGCAGTTCAATGACAATGAGTGGTGATCAACACCTGTAGTGAATGAAGGTTGGATGAAGGAACAACAATGGATCCTCATAGTGTTGGATCGTGGGTTTAACTCTCATACCAAATGGTGTAGAACTAGAGGATGAAGATCCACTCTAGGGTTTCTGAAAATATTATCACTCAATATTCATTCATTCAAAGGTAATTGTACATTTACACAATCCCCATACATACATACATACATACATTCATTCATATATATGTATATGTTTTTCATAACTGGTAAGGAAATTGGAAAGGAGAAACAAAAAACTAATAAAAATGGAAACAAAATCCTAATAAACTAAATCTCCAAAATATTTATCCTTCTGAATGACGCCTCTTGAGCCTTACATATGTCTTCATTCTTCCCCTTTCTTGATGCCCATCATTCGTTTGGGGACTATATCTTTTAGCAAAAAATCCAAAAAGTCGCTATAAGTTGTCACACCACTCTTTCTATTTTTCTGCACATCTTTTCATAAAAAGTCAAAAAGTTACTAAAATAATCTGTTTCTAAACGAGGCCAAGTTTGTCCAAAAATTCCTATTAGACATGTTTCCAAATTACAACATTAGGCATGAGTAGTACTTTTTAAAATATTGCAAACTTCACCATATTATCACTGCTCTCAATAGTTTTCTACCCATAAAATTCTTAAAACTTTGCTAATTGACATGGTAAAATTTGATCCTATGTTACCTGGAATGTAGATTGTCTGGTATGAGGAACATAAATGGAAATGTGGTGCATCACATGCTTTAAAACGTAAATTGTTAGGATGTCAACATTTATTTGAAAAAGGAAAAAGCAAGATAATTCATCATTTTTTACATAAAGGACATTAAAAGCACCATGTTGTATTCTTGATCACTGTAGTTTTAATGGTTGACTCTCTTTCTCTGCCTGTTTGTCTTTGTTATGTCTTTTATTGAAGTCAACGAAAGAAAAAAGGCCATGGCTTTGTTGTTTTATTTGAAGTATTGTGATTTAAATTTTCTTGAGAAGTCTACATACCTTCATCTAACATTAATTGGATGCATTGTGTAGCACATTGCTCTATGTAATGACTGTGTCTTAACTTTGTTTTTCTGATTCTGCCTAATATATTTTTTTCTTTTTCCAGCCTATTTTAGTTTTTATGTCCAAGGTGGATGGGAGTTTCAAATTTAGCCCCATTAGTGTTAACTTTTTGACAGAGTGTGCAAAGGTTCTGTTTGCAATTGTCATGCTTTTGTTGCAGGTAAGATTGAATTTCTTTACTGTCCAACTTAAATATGTATTTTTTTTTCCATGTTATTTTATTCATTTTCCTTAACGGAATACATGTAAATCATGCCATGTTTGGTGCAGCAAGAGAGTAACTGAAATATTGAATTAGTTGAATTGTTTCATAATTTCTTAATGTTATACCATGCATTGGAGATTGTATATTTTATTAAAGTAGGATAACAGTAAGTTGACTGATGTTTTGTGTACTAAATTTTAACCAACCAATAAGGAAGGTTAGTTGTTGTTTAAGGACTAAGTGATTGAGGTGGTGTTAATGATGTTAATATCTAAATTGTAGATAGAATTATAGTGGATGAAGGTTATTAATGCACTCATGCAGGATAAATTACAAATCTTACTAGCGGAGTATATTACAGGATATGTTGTAGGTTGTATTGCCATTCAAAGAACTAAAAAAAAAGATACAATTTGCCAGCGATGTGCATATATGTTCCTAATGTGTGTGCACATGTGTACAATTTTATTCCAACTTATGGTTTGAGATATTCTAAATTTGATATATTGGTTAATTTCAAAAGTTTCAGTTGCTTTATGATTGCCAAGCAATAAATTTGTACAAATTGCGTTAATGCTTAAGTTAATTTGCAGGCTCGGCGCCAGAAAGTTGGAGAGAAGCCAGTTCTCACAGTTTCCATTTTTGTACAGGTATAGTTCTTACTAATATACAAATTTTGGAATTTATTTTTTTGGTCTGTAGGAGAAGGTAACTACACTGCCATTACCATGTTTGTAGTTTGTTTAACTACATATATAGGGTGATAATTATGAGAATTGAAAAGTGCAGGTTGGCTAGGCCTTCCTCGGGGGCTTTCTTTTATTTGAATGCACTTATTCACTAGTTCAGGGTTGGTAGAAATGCAAACTACCCTACATTCTTTTTAGTACATAAAATCACTTCCATTTTGTATCTTTTAGTCTTATAACCCAAATTTCATATGCTTGTTGCATTTTAAAATTCTTTCCCATATTACAAACCTATATCCATGCAGAGCAGAGAATCATGCATATCACCACTATTACAAGTCATTTTGTTTTTTCTGGAGGTAATCATGTTAGAAAACAAGCATCTCAGCTCAACACCAGCAACTTTGTGTAAGGTCCTTGATCTTGAACTTATATTTAAAAAATTATGCAGCTGTCCAACAAGTATCTACCAAGGCAAAGCTAAAATCTATGCACATTTAGTGAAGAATGTTTCCCGCAGTGACAGATATGCAAACTGCCTGGCATAAAATCTAGCAAAGCCAGGATTACAGTACTTTCTAAATCAACATAGATGACGACAATGCTCTCCTCTACAAATTCACTCCCGAATTTTGGGTCTTAAAATTTTAATACTATGTATTTTTATGGCATGTTGGCTACCAACGTGGCATTCATCCATCCAAAATTGGCCAGAAGTTGGTTTTGGGAGTAAATTGAGAAAAATTACAAACGTTAGGGGCCAAAGTGGGAAAAAAGTACTTCAAGGGCCAAAATGAGAAAATTGTGATACTTGGGGCAAAGTGTAATTTATCCAAAATGTTAATGTAATGTATTTTTATGCCACTTGGCACCATGTGGCTGCCAGTGTGTCATTCCCAATCCAAAATTGGACGGAATTTGGCTTTAGGATTAAATTTGGAAAAAATACACATGTTAGGGGCCAACGTGGGACAAAAATACTTTTAAGGGCCAAAGTTGGAAAACTATGAAACCTAAGGGGCGCAAAGTGTAATTCACCCTATCCAAAAACTGGCCTTGCTAGTGTCTTGGGTTTCTGACTATATGCTAAGTTCATGGGTGATAAAGCGAGTCCTAAGTTTTTTTTTTTGGGTGAATAATGAGTCCTAAGTTTGGTTGGCTTATAAAAAAAATTAAATTTTCGAGTGTCTTACGGACTAGGTTTCTAGCTGGTGAATAATGAAGTTTAGAGTTCTATATTGGTATTTCATGATATTGTCATTTCTGAATATTGAGCATTCTAGTGTGGGTTGCCTGGCCAATTGATGGGAATCCTGGATTAGGTTTTATATGCTTGTGTCACAAAAAGGATCTTTTTTAAGATTCGAGTTTTTCCCCTTTTTTTTGTTCATTTTTAATAGCCTGTCCAAATAAATATTTATCTATTTGGATTTGTTGGTTCTCCCTTTTTGCAAATAATGCCAAAGTTTAGGTCTTTACATAGTTGATCCCTCCATGCTACCTGCACTGGACGGACCAACACTAAGTTTGGCCTTGTATTAATGGTCTCTAATCCTGATACTGTCATTCATATTACTGCAGGCAGCTCGCAACAATGCGCTTCTTGCTGTTCCAGCACTTCTCTATGCTATCAATAACTATCTAAAATTCATCATGCAGGTATCATTCTTTTAATTGGTGGCTTGAACATATGTATGTGCCTGTGGAGAGAATTTTATGGGAATGTTCTTTGTGATATAAGAATGGGAACTTGATTTTGCTGTTTCCATTGTTTCAGTTTAATGCATAGGCAAGTACTTGTATGCTGTCATGTGATAATGCTCTTTAAAGATGGGTGATTGGGGGCCTTTGTTGTCATTATATCAGATCTTCTGTGTTGTGGTTGCAAGCCAAAGCTCTTTTTGCTATTCAGTTTTTGACCATGGTGTGTTTGACAGCTACGATACTGACCTGATGAACAGTGCACTTAGTTGGGATCATAGATTATTTAAGTTACGTGATTTAAAGGTGCTTTCAGAATGATGGTAGGAACATGGAAGGTTGACTTAGGTATACAAAGCTTTGTTAAGTTTGACATGGTTGATTAAAATCATTAAATACTATCAACTTAAGTCAGTTGTGGTCAACTACATGAATCCTTCATCCTTTTATAGCTCTCTCTAGGGCCACACCCATAGCTAGTAGCATCTGTTATTCACATTTGTGAAAGAACAAGTTGAGGATATAGTTCCTTGGTAAACCAGTGAAAGGAGTTTATGCAACTGACATCTTTTGGTTGGGATTCAAGAAAGTGTAATTTACCCAAATAAATAACATTTATCGCAAACTACATCTCATATTGGATAAAATATACATCAGGTAGCCACATGTTCCTAAGTTACTATATGTGTGACAGGTAGAGTCCACTGCTAAAGTGGTTCTGTTGGAATTTGGCATCTAGGCTGGTGTTTTAGATTTGGAAAACTTCATTGAACCATGCATTGATTGAAAGTTGATTCTTTTTGGCATTTGAATGCTACTTGTTTGTGTCACGTACTCTTTAATTAGAACAACTTTTTTTGCAGCTATATTTCAATCCTGCAACTGTGAAGATGTTGAGCAATCTGAAGGTATATTGTTGTTCACTTATATGCTTGTGATGTCTTAGAGATTGTGTAGTTCATTTGAATTTTGGATTTCTTATGCCTCTCTTGTGCATCGTATTGTCAAGAATATTAACCAGAATGAACTGTTTTTTTAATATATTGTACAAGCTTTTCAGCAACATCTATAGATTTTCTGTAACTTGGTGCAAATTGGCAGCTTGTTTTGGCAGAAACATTCCTTTGGCTTTGTGACTCATTATTTTGTTTTCTTACAAGGGGACATCTTAGTTGCCGGCGGGTGATATGTTTTGCTAGATCTTTTTTTTCCTTTTCATTGAAAAACAAGCTATTCTGTATCAAATTGCTGCTACTGCCCTACTTGCAATATTTTTCCTTATTCCCACTAGAAAGTAGACATGATATGCGTCAAATGAAGTGATCTAAGTTCCTATGTTGTGGCACTTATGCTCTTCCGCCTTATATGACTTACTAGTGGTTATCTTGATTCATTCTTTGCTCATGCCATGTGAACCTCTATCTTTGAACGTTCTACAATGAAAAGCCTAAGGGAGCTGAGGCCTAGAGTTCCTTTCATATATTTTCTTTTTGGAAATATATGCGAGGAATTTCTTTTTATGTTTTTATTTTAACACACGGGTTCAGCCAAAATGCACCTTGCTTGGTCAGTGGCTCAAAGTAGATCATAAAAAACCTTTTGTGTGAAGTGTTTCAATCATAAATTTAATTTCTAAGTAGTTTGGATTGGATTTTATATAGTAAGTTTGGTTTTATCTAACAGCAAGTGAGAGACTATATGGCAATTGGCAATGACATTAGAATGGGTGTCAAAGTTTGGGCAAATACCACATGCCTGATATGGTGACTATGAATAACATGAAGTTTGTCATGACTGTAGGTGCCCAAAAGATGTTTAGCAAGGTTATAAGATATGACACTGACCTAAAAAAAGAAAAAGTGAAAGCGCTACAATTGGATTGCTCCAGTTATATAGGATTGTACTCTAGATATTATCTTGTAATATGTGTGTTTCCTTTGCCTCCAGTTGGATTTTATTCTTGCTAACTATGAACTGTTAAATGCAGGTCTTGGTAATTGCTGTTTTGCTAAAGATAATAATGAAGCGTCGGTTTTCCATAATTCAGGTTAATTTCATATCCTAAATGGTCTTATTTTAGGTAATTTGGTGATTTAAGTGTAAAATGTAAACAGGAAGCTTTTTCCATGGCTTCTTTAGGTGTGCACATACAAACATTCACCACATGATTTTATACTTAGCTTAAGGTATGTGCAATTTTGTTTCATTGTTTTGTTACAGTGGGAGGCTCTTGCTCTATTGCTAATTGGAATTAGCATAAATCAATTACGATCCCTACCTGAGGGTGCTACTGCTCTGGGTCTTCCAGTTGCAACGAGTGCATATGTGTACACATTGATCTTTGTAAGTAATTTGAGGCATTTTCTTCTAGTTAAACTTGATGTCCTCTTATTTGACATTATTGTAGAATTTATAGCTATGCATACTGTTTGGTCTGAAATTAGTCATCTGTACATTATGGTTTTTTCATCTCATAGACTTGTTTCTAGACTTGATGGGACTTAAGGCTTGGTTTGGTTTGGTTTGTTTTATAGACTTGTTTCTATAATGGTTCAAAAAGAAAAGAAAAACGAAAAAAAAAAGAAAAGAAAAAAGAAAAAAAGAAAAGAAAAGAGACTTGTTTCTATAAGGTTAGGCTAACTTTAGGAGTTCAATGTGCAGGTGACTGTTCCATCTCTGGCCTCAGTCTACAACGAGTATGCTTTGAAGAGCCAATATGACACAAGCATTTATCTTCAGGTGATTCAAATTGAGTATGGTTAGCTTGTATCCTGTGTCAATGAAATATTGGATATTTTTTTGTTTGCATTACTGAAAGACACTTAAAGGGAAATCACCAATTTTTTTATTTATCATGTCAGCAATTATAGTTCACACCTCTTTCTTTTATTCTTCATTTGAGTACTTTCAGTGATGGTCTCGATAAGGTCGTCTACTTATTACCTCTCTAGTCCATGCTATAAGCAGGTGTGTTATGCACTGGATAGAACCTTCGTTAAAAAGAGTAATTGTTGTGGCATAAAGTTGAATACCTATTTGGTCTAAAAGAAAAGTAAGCAGGAAGAAGGTTTGTTTATTGGAATTTATTAATATCTGGAAAAATTGTAGCTTTAGGATATTGGGTTTTTGTTTTTAAGTGGTGCATTTTATTGGAGTTTGTCTCCCAATAGTTCCTTTGTTTGACATCAAGAGAAACTAGAATTGGGTATGTAGGATTCAGGCTCAGTGTCCAGAAAATGATGCATGACTATTTTGGGGTCGAGCTGCCTTGTATTGAATCTGAATCACTCATTACCAACAGTACTTGAAACTCCATTATATATCTGTTCAACTGTACTTTACTAGTGATGCAAGTTTTTAGGGTTGTATAATTTATAAATAAGTTCACTTTTGTAATATTTTTTGTCTTCCCAATTTGACATGTTTGTTTTGGCAGAACTTGTTTTTATATGGATATGGTGCCATATTCAATTTCCTGGGCATTCTTGTGACTGCCATGGTCAAAGGTATGGAGATGAAGCTTCATTGTACAGCCTAGTCGATTAATATTGGAGAAAAATGTTTTCAAGTTATACTGATATCAATTGTTGGAGATGGCAACTTTATTTTTCAGTGTATGCTATAATTTGCCACAAACTTGATTTCATACAGTTCATCTCCTGCTCCTCTAAGTGAATTAAGTGCATGTTTGAGGCAGTTTTCTCTTTTACTCAGTCCAGTACTGCCATGATTGGTTTCAAATTGTGTTAGTTTTTTAGTAGGATATCTTGGCTATTAGTTCTGCTGACTTGCTGACCCCCTATGAAGCATGGGTACTTCGACAAACATGCCGTACCCGTACTGGATACTTACCAACGTATGATACTTTTGCATATGTACCGGGTACACAAAACATGAATCCAAATTTTTTCTTCTCGGATGTACCCAGTATATATCCAAACCGTATTGTACCTCAGTCAAAACAATGTTTTCTTCTACTAAAGAGATAAAATTCCTTTCACTAGACCTCTTTTTAGTTTTTAATTTTATGCTTAGCATGATTTTAAAATTAAGCTATGGTTTGTAATTTATACCTTTACTTTTGGCATTAAATGTTAATTGTAGGTTGGATCTTAACAAATTAAACCATTTAATCAAATTTTGTATTACTTTAAATTAAAAATAAATATTTGTTACAAACATACCAAGTCGTACTCGTACCTTACTTTTTTTTGAATTTTACCGTATCGACGTATCCATGTTGTACCATTACTCATACCCGTGCTTCATAGACCCCTAATGCTTTTTAGCAGTTCCTTAGGTGGAAAAGATAAACCAAAACTGCCTTTTGTCTTTGATTTTTTCTATTTTCTTTCATTTTCTACTTTGTTAAACAGGTAAAGTGATCAAGTCATATTTCAAAAATTGCACAAATTTTAGTGGCTTTACACGAATGGAGCCTTCAGCACATATTGTTAATGTCTTTTCCCAGTGTCGCACTAAAATTTCATGAAATAGTTAATGCCTTGTTGTGTTGAAGGCTCCATTCTTTTTAATGGCTATTATAACCTTTCTATTGGATGTGTAGCTTCAGGACAATTCAATCTGTATAGGACACTCGAGGATGATTGGTGCTCTTGGTTCATGGGATATACATTTTTGAGTTGTGGCTTTAATTTTGTAATGTTGAATATTTCAGGTCCTAGTAGCTTTGACATCTTTGAAGGCCATTCAAAAGCTACCATGCTTCTAATATTTAACAATGCAGCACAAGGAATCCTATCCTCATTTTTCTTCAAATATGCAGGTTTGATTACTTTCCTTAGTAGTTTGAGGTCTTCTTTCTATGCATCAACCTTCAGATGCTGTTCTGCTCATTTGAGACTTTAAGAATTAGATTTGTTATTGTTCAATATGCACCATTATACGAGTTATTGCATGGGGAATTTTGTTAGTTGCAATCTGACATTTTGTTTGATGTGACCAGATACAATCTTGAAGAAGTATTCATCAACTGTTGCCACAATATTCACAGGCATAGCATCTGCTGCATTATTTGGCCATACTCTGACTATAAACTTTATGTTAGGAATTACAGTTGTTTTCATCTCAATGCACCAGGTACTACAGAAAGAGAAATATATTTTAATGATTACCATGTTATTTTCAGGCTTACCTTGTGTTTCATTTTTCCCCCCTTTGCAGTTCTTTTCTCCTCTTTCAAAGGTCAAAGATGAACAGCAAAATGGTGTGGTGGAACTAAAGGATGTTCAGGATAACCACAGGTATTTGCTTCTTGTTTTGTCAGTCATAATTCAGAATGCCTTCATTTCAAGGACATGTTTGGAGATGTATGTGGAATTGGGAGATTAATTGTCTGTATGAACTGAAAGTGAACTAAAAATTATTATTCTTGGTGTTACCCACTTGAAAATACACAAAAAGAGATCTAATAAACTGTTAATTTTAAAATGGGAACAGTCTAATAATGGAATGAAATATTGTCATGTGTATATATATATTGAGTGATATATTGAGATTTAAGAGTTGCAATATTTTGCCCATGGATATCGATGATAAATTCCATCATGTATTGATGGATATATCGCAAACACTAATACTACAGATACAGAAGCAACATCCAAACATGTATAAAATGGTTTGTATATATAGATGTGAGCCCCCTCAACTTTAAAAACCTACCCTTAAACCCCCTCTACTCCTGTCTAAAGTGAATACACAGATGGCCTCAACAAGAAATGATTCTCACTCAAATTTAATGCCTTTGTTCTTATCTTTTATCTCACCCTCCCATTTTCTCCCTCGCTGTACCTGGACTATGGATTTTGTGGTGTGCCTTTCACCTGATTCAATGAGGCCTCTTAAATCTGATGAGTAGTTCATGGATAACGTCTATATAAGTAGTTCCCCATGCCCATTTTTTATGGTAAATTAAGAATTTTAGAGGGACATATTTACTCAGCAATTATGCTGGTGTGACTTTGATGTTGAAGTGCAAAATCCTCAAGAGCTGTGCTCTTCAGATAGCAGAGGGGCTGCAGAGTGGGACCGGTAAGGTGTGGTGGGGGTTAACCTGAGACAGTGAACTTGGCTGTGGCGTTGGCATCCTTCCCTTGTGATTATCCTTTTTGAGAGCGAGTTCAAGCATTACCTTCTCAAACAAATCGTGGTTTTTATTGAATTTAGGTAGAGTAATAACAGTCTCGCAAATTTGCAGAGCACCATCAAATATATTTCAATCACTTTTAAGGGTATAAAAGTAATTCCAGCAATTGCACGGAGAAACTAACATTCACTTTAGTCTAGGGGGGGTGGTATGCATTTTTGAGACAAAATACTGGGTGTAATCAAACTTTCTCCAATGTAGAAATCTGACATCTAGACTGCCGGGTTACAGTAAAACTTTAGAAAAATAATGCCTTCTTTTAAAAACGATTTTCTATAGATTCTGATTACTTCTGGTTTTTTTCTTCCTTTTGGTTATTCTCACAACAGTAAAGTGACATGCCACCACGACACTAGTTTATCTCCCCTTGCAAGTTTTCCTTTTTCCATTTTCTGGGGTTTGTCTTGGGATTTGACATTGTGATGGTGCTTCCCAAATTAAATTTATTTGCATAATTTGATTTCAATTTCAATTGTATTCATTTGATGAACTCATGTCAGGTCAAGGGATTCATCCTTCGTAAATATGGCAGCCGGAGCGAATGAGGAGGTGCAAATCTGTTATTGACTTTTTTAAAAGCAATATTAACACTTTCTGAAACTCATATTTCTCTTCCTCTTGTTACTTTTACCCTTTTTCCAGGCTAGTCATCGTGTAGGATCTGATGAAAGACAACCACTTCTTCCCATGTAAAGGTATTCAGGGGTATGTTGCTGAAACTTATCGTGATATACTGGCATCGAAGTTTTCATTTCAAACACACTCAGGGAAACATCTTGTCTTGTGAATCTCTTCCTTCATTATCAAACCGAGTATATTGACACACATTCGGGGGTTACTTTGAACATTGTACCAAAGAATGAGATGCAATCTAATAATATACAATGAGATTGCCTTCTAAATTAACCTAAGCATCAATGAGAAAGCATAATGATCAGTTGATAAATGCAGCAGAAACTTTTGAATTTCTTAAAATTAGATAGATTTTTTATCTTTTCTCCTCACTATCCTGTATACTTGTTCAACCCGTTTTTAATAGCAAACTTGTTGCAGGGTTCTTGGGAAGATTTTTATTGGCTGGACTCGCTGGAGCATATTAAGAGACAATAGCCAGCTCTGAGAATCACTGAATGAAATAAAAACTGAAAGGAATTCTTTTTAGTTCTCTTGAATACCTTCTATGCTAGATGGCGTGTAATTGTTGCGTAGAGCCTTTTCTCAGCAGGTTCGAAATGTAGAGCTGAGGGTTGAAAGAGGTTTTTATAGAGCCGTAGCAACTTCACTTCGTTGCCATTCTACATGTCTTGAGCATACCAATACTATGTTACTAGTGATATTTGTATCTTTTTTTTCTTTTCTTTTTTTTGTCAGAAACCAAGTATAGATGAGTTTCACATTTTTTGTTCCTTATGAGATACCAATTTTTTAATAAAAATATAATGATTTGAGTTAGAATTTTGATCTATGAGTGCAATTTTCTGTTAGGTTAAAGAAGCCGCTATGGGAAACATGGAGACATGCCATCCATTGTTTTGTTTTTCCTTCCCTACTGAATATGTGAATGTTAATAGTTATTATGAGTTATATATTACAAGCATTTAAATGGAATTAAATATGTAGATGGTTTTTCTTGAATCCATTTGGATACCCAAACTGTATGGTTTGGTTTTAATTTTTTCAATGTGTGATTGGGTTTATAGTGGTAAAATGATGATATATTGACTGATGATTGAATAGGTTGTGAGCGATACATGGTTTCGAATTTGAATTGAATCGCAGTGTGTTTTAATTTCAAATTTTTTTTTTTATAATTTTATTTAATTTTAAATTTTATGCAATTGTAAATAATTTTGATTGATCTTAATTTTCATTTTAAACTGAATCAAATCCAACCCTCCACGATTGCTTATATTCTTATACCTACAAAAATACAAATGAGCATCATGATGGAAGATTCTTATATTCATGTTAGTACAAGGCTTACTTGTTCAGTGTTCTCACAATCAAAAAACACAATATATATATATATATATAAAGCTCCTTGTTGAGTGAGCATCATGCATATGTATCCAGTGCACCTCGGCAGCAAATGGGTAGACAACAGTGGGCAATAATTAATTAAAAATACATTACAATTGACTTTTCATAAAAAACTTCAATTTGTCTTAATTTTCACATAATTATATGGTAATTTTTAAAAAAATATAAACTTTGACATGTACTATTTGCAAAACAAATGGAAAATAATAATTTCATTTTTTTTAATTTATATTTTACACTTCATAATAATTATCTCAAAATATTACTTGCATTCAAATATTTATATTTCATTTTTTAAATCATAGTGGAGAAAATGAATGTGTTGAGTAGGTAAGAGGAAATGTCATTATTTGTTCATTATTATTTTTTTCTTTTGTATAACAATATTTTTCATTGTTTATTGTTGTTGGTGTCGATGGGGGAAGTTGTTGGGTACTCTTGGAGTACGATAATGTGGTACTTCAAGGTATTATAATTAGTAGAGAAAGTGAGACTTATAATTTTGTATTGAGTGATTGAAGAATACGAGACAACATGATTAATGATAATTAGTGAATGACTATATGGACACATAATATTTTAGAAATATTCAATAATTTTCCGTGGAGAAGATCCACTTAGCGTGGTCTACTAGAGATGACAAATAAATTTATATATATAAAAAAAAAAAAAAACACAGAAAAACAAAAACTCACACTAAACACTTATGTTGTGTTTTGGCTATTAAAAAAAAAACAAAAAAACTCACACTTTTCTTGCACTCAAAACACTTATGTTGTGTTTTGGGTATATAAAAAAAATAAATAAATGAAAGAAAGAAAAGAAATATATATATTTATATTATTATATATGTGAATACTGAATTTGATGTCTGTTAGGTTAAAGAAGCCGCTATGGGAAACATGGAGACATGCCATCCATTGTTTTGTTTTTCCTTCCCTACTGAATCTGTGAATGTTAATAGTTATTATGAGTTATATATTACAAGCATTTAAATGGAATTAAATATGTAGATGGTTTTTCTTGAATCCATTTGGATACCCAAACTGTATGGTTTGGTTTTAATTTTTTCAATGTGTGATTGGGTTTATAGTGGTAAAATGATGATATATTGACTGATGATTGAATAGGTTGTGAGCGATACATGGTTTCGAATTTGAATTGAATCGCAGTGTGTTTTAATTTCAATTTTTTTTTATAATTTTATTTAATTTTAAATTTTATGCAATTGTAAATAATTTTGATTGATCTTAATTTTCATTTTAAACTGAATCAAATCCAACCCTCCACGATTGCTTATATTCTTATACCTACAAAAATACAAATGAGCATCATGATGGAAGATTCTTATATTCATGTTAGTACAAGGCTTACTTGTTCAGTGTTCTCACAATCAAAAAACACAATATATATATATATATATAAAGCTCCTTGTTGAGTGAGCATCATGCATATGTATCCAGTGCACCTCGGCAGCAAATGGGTAGACAACAGTGGGCAATAATTAATTAAAAATACATTACAATTGACTTTTCATAAAAAACTTCAATTTGTCATAATTTTCACATAATTATATGGTAATTTTTAAAAAACTATAAACTTTGACATGTACTATTTGCAAAACAAATGGAAAATAATAATTTCATTTTTTTTAATTTATATTTTACACTTCATAATAATTATCTCAAAATATCACTTGCATTCAAATATTTATATTTCATGTTTTAAATCATACACCGTGGAGAAAATGAATGTGTTGAGTCGGTAAGAGAAAATGTCATTATTTGCTCATTATTATTTTTTTCTTTTGTATAACAATATTTTTCATTGTTTATTGTTGTTGGTGTCGATGGGGGAAGTTGTTGGGTACTCTTGGAGTACGATAATGTGGTACTTCAAGATATTATAATTAGTGGAGAATGTGAGACTTATAATTTTGTATTGAGTGATTGAAGAATACGAGACAACATGATTAATGATAATTAGTGAATGACTATATGGATACATAGTATTTTAGAAATACTCAATAATTTTCCTTGGAGAAGATCCACTTAGCGTGGTCTACTAGAGATGACAAATAAATTTATATATATATAAAAAAAAAAAAAACACAGAAAAACAAAAACTCACGCTAAACACTTTTGTTGTGTTTTGGCTATTGAAAAAAAAAACAAAAAAACTCACACTTTTCTTGCACTCGAAACACTTATGTTGTGTTTTGGGTATATAAAAAAAATAAATAAATGAAAGAAGGAAAAGAAATATATATATTTATATTATTATATATGTGAATACGGAATTTGATGTCAAAGTCTCCAAACCTTCTTCTGACGTGGCACATTTCCACTCTTTTGAAAAGGAAGAGTTTTGTCGAAGAAAGTTTCTTGTTATTAGGTAACAATAATCTTCACAATAACAAGCCATCTATAACATAACATGAGTACATAAGGATTCACAGCACTAGTCAACGTAAGTAATTAAAGAATCAATTACTTTTACATTTTAAACTAATAAATAATTTAAAAAAAAAGTCTCAATAACTCATAATTTATTTTCATATCAAGAATGGAAGTGTGTGGAGGAGATTCAAAATGCATATTGTGAAATCTATATGTATAGAATGAATTTATATCACATATTAATATTTTAGGAAAGGCTTCTCTCTAGTTCACTTACAGATTATAGAGTCTTGTTGGCCCATGGTGGGACTTATTTTGATGATTTAAATCGTTCAATATGTAGAGTTTGTTGGGTACATCATTCATGTAAAAAATTATATTAATCAGATATAATAACTACTTAATCATATCATATTTATGTCTAAAAAATATTTTTAAAATTATACAGCGTTGATCTACTTGTAGTGTTGGTTTACTTAAATAACTTTATATAATGAACAATTTAAATTGCCAAACTGAAGTCTAAAAATGGGCCATTATAGACCATGCTAGACAGACCAGCTCTCTTTCTCTTCAAAGATGAATATGGGTTTAGCAGCTGCATCCTTGTGATTTTAAAGAAGCAAAATATTTTAAATGGTCCCTAGTCTTTGAGAAATTATTCATTGTCCCATGGTCAAATTTAAGTAGTGCCCCAACCTAATTATTCTTTGTTAAAACAGTAATCCTACTAGTTGTTTGTCACTTTAAAGAGACAACTGAATATTTATCCAAACATAAATGAAGTGGAACAATACCTGGAACAATAAATAATATCTCCTCGTCTTTTTACTTTCCATTAGTGCTTCAATGGGCCCTAGTCTTCGTTCACTTTCTTGTTGTTTGATAAGCTTATGTCCATTTTCCACTAATTTTTGTAAATAACAATTATTCTAAACATTAAACCTTAAAATTATCTATAGTTATAATTATAATACGAAAAAAAAATGTCCTTATCTCCTTAAAAATAAATGTATTCAATTTATTTTGAAACGTCACATCATTCTCCTATCATAAATACATATTAGATTTGTTATTTCATATTTATTTATTGTTAGAAGGTTAGGCATGCTTTCATGACTTCCCATTTACATATTATACACTTATTTATTGTTAGAATATTACGCATGCTTTCATGTCTTCCCACTTACATATCATGAACAATAACTTATTTTATAATTTAACCTAATGATTAAGGATATTTTTAATAGTACATAATTTTTTTTCATTAAGTTGGAGTAAAAACACTCTTTAATATCACTTGTTCTAACGAAAAGATTTTCATCAAATCACCGGTTGATCAGCTAATTTAAAATTTTTACAAATTGAGGGGTCATCCGAAGGGTCAACCTTCCAGTATAACCTTTTCACAAAAAATTGCCAGGTGGTCATCTGGGAGGATAATCAGGGAACACCTTATGGTGAAAATACAACGGTAATGAACAGTGATTTGATTAAAGGTACAAAACATCCTTAATTTGGTAAAACGTTTGTTATATTCTCAATTTGATACAAGTTTGACAAACCATTAGAGCACAAAAAGAGACTTTTTTTTAATTTTTTTATCAAATTTGAATTTGGTGTTGCGTTAGATAGAGTGATAAATGTTATGTAAATATATATATATAAAATATAAAAACATTTTTTTGGTGAAAGCATAATTAATTTCACTAGTTTAAAATGGTATTTATTCAAATTAATAATTAAAAAAAATATCATAAACGGTACTCCTTCGGTTATAAATATTAGTACTTTTTTGACAATTTAAATTTTGTTGGCAGTACAATTATTACATTTAAAAAATAACTTTTCAAAACTACCTTTTGATCTAAAATAGTATTTTTGGAGATCATGATTATATTTTTTGTATATATTAATGTTAATGGATTTAAAAGAACTGCAAAATAAGAAATTTATGTTATTTTAGTAATTGATTTTTAGAAAGAGATTAATATTTTGTGACAATAAAAAATAAAACAAGAGATATTTTGGGATGATGGGAGTAGTACAAGTTACTTTTTATTTTTTAATTTCTCTTTCAATAATTGAGAAACAAGTGTGTGTATATATATATATATATTGTAAAAATAAGATAAAAGGTATTGTTAATAAGTGTTCTTGAAAAAATAAAAGACAAAAAATTAAACTTCTTCCATCTCAAAATATTAGCATTTTTTAAGGAATTTAATTTTTTTGGATAATATAATTATTATATTTTAAAACTATAACTTTTCAAAAATTACTTTTGGTAATATAATTATTACACTTCAAAAATATTAATGTTAATGAATTTAAAACAAGAAAAAAATTAAGAAATTTATATTATTTTAATTATTAAATTTTTAAAAGGAGCTAATATTTTGAAATAATAAAAAATAAAATAAAGAATTAAAATTTTAGAAAGGAATAGAAAACAAGATAATTTTTATTAAACCTTCATTTGACATAAATTAAAATGGGATTTTTTGACTAAAATAGTCAAAAAAGACAAATAAATTTTTTAGACTAATAAGACAAAATGTCACATCTAAACCATAATAATTTTATTTTTTCTCTCATAAAAATCAGAAAGTCTATCAATTTTTAACCCTAAATTAAAATAGCTAAAAAATTAATTCACATCCCAAACGAATCCTAAGTTTAATCTGTTATAACTGAAATTAATATATATTTTGACAAATTTTTATTACAAATGTTAAAAATCTTAAAAAATTTATTAAAATTTTTCACATTCTCAAATATTTTATAAAAATTTTAAAATCTTTTTCAATACTCAATTTTTATATTTTAAAGATATTTTTTTACACGCTTTCAAACATTAAACAATTTCAAAAAAAAAAACACTCGGGCAGCATTTGTCAAGAGATAAAGTTAGTCTTTACCCGCCAAGGCTTCGCGCCTTTTCATGAAAAAAAGCTGACAAAACGCCACTTGGTCCACTCAGCAGAACACTTTCCGTATCCCAAACTGTCTGCCACGAGCCAAGGTTCTCCTTGCAGCCTGGTACTTGCGCCCGTCCTTGTAAGCCTTCGGGTCTATTTTTAGGCCCAATTTTAATAATCCGAACCGTTCATATTTTATGATTTATTCAGTATATCATACCTGTAAAAAGGTTGCTCCTATGTTGCCTTTGAAGTCCGCTGGCCGTGAAGTTCCTTCTCTTGAGCAACAACAATCGGTCGCCAAACAGGTCTCTCATTCATTTGCTTTTATTCAAATCAAACCCCATAGTTTTTTCCCTTAATTTCCCTTATTTTTTGGCTCTTAAATTAAATTAATTTAGTGTTGGTCTGTAAAACAGTTGATCCCAAGTAATAAAAAAAAAAAAAAAAAACCAAAAAAAACTCAGGGTTCGATTAAAGCCTATTGTTAAATTTTAGGGAAAATTGCAAAAAATAATTAAATTTTTATAGGGTTTGTAGCTAATTAAACCCAAGTTTTTAAATTTCATCAATCTAAACATTGTTACACTTTGCCCTTTATGTTTGGTCATTTTTTCAATCTTAAAGTTTATTTTTTCTTTATTCCAAAGGTAATTTCTGTTCAAAATTAGACAGAAAATATCACAATAACTGTCAAATAATATATTAAATATATTAGTACATTAGAGTTTAAATTTATGTGAGAGTTATATATAATAAAGGATCATTTTCTGTCTAATTTTGAAAAAAAAAAAGTTTTAGGAGTAAAGTGGAAAAAATTTGAAGCATAAAACGCCAAAGTAGAAAAAAAAAAAATTAAAAAAACAACAACTTTAAGGGCCAAAGTGAGAAACTGGCCAAACATCAAAGGGGCAAGGTGTAATTTACCCTATTTTTAAACTGGTCAAACTCAAACCACCCATTCAGTTTTTGTTTAGTGAATGAATTTTTTTTAGGACATGTGCCTTATTTGCTCTTTTAACTTGATGGAAATCCTAACTTTAATTTAATTTAACCACACTAGATTAATCTACATAGATCATAACCATTTGTGGATACGCAATTTCATAAATGCGGTCATCGGTGGCGTAGCCAGGAATTGCACTCAGTGTGGTCATTCAGCAAATATCATATTTTTAGTTTAAGAAATGTTATTACGTCACTGTTTTATTTTGAAGATAATTATTATGGAATTAATTAATACAAATCTTGTCACATATCCTGAAGGTGAAAAAAAGAAATGATATAAAACAGTTCTTTTTAGTTTTATAGAACCTATCAACATTAATGCTCAAATGATGCCCTGTGAATTTTATATATTCTCAATCACATTGACAAAAGTAATTCAAACTACTCAAATTACAAGTACAAACAAAAAAATTGGGATATTAATATTGTTACTTCATTAAAATTGTGATTTTTGTGGCTGGAAGAAATGTCGGAGAGAGAGAACGAATGAAGGAAACACTCTGTGTGTGTGTGTGTGTGAGAGAGAGAGAGAGAGAGAGAGAGAGAGAGAGAACAAATGAAGAAATGCATCAATGGCAATGTAGCAATGGTTGTTGGAGAATGAAGCGTTGAGGGAGCGAATGAATGAATGAACTTTGAGCTTGTTTCATAAAGGAATAATGTTATACAAAGTAATAAAATTCTACTCACTGATATGACATCTATATCATTGAAGTAAATTATGTTTTAATTTCTAAAAGTTTCATCACTGCATGACGCATTTGTTAGTAAAAAAAACAAAAACTTTGTATGACATTTTCCTTCTAAAATACTAATTGTATATATATATTAACTTCATTGGGTCAATTTGTAAAACTCCAAAATTTAATATTTTGTTTCTAGATTCACTGAGGTCATTTTGCTAAAACCCAAAACTGTTGGACAAAATACCACATATTTGAACAAAATTTGAAAGTCCAGTGCTTTCAATTGACACCACTAAACAATGAATAGCTTTGCCCCTGGCTGTCATTGAACTAGTGAATGTAGGGACAATTTTTCTGGATTTATATTCATCAAAAGAACGAAAGCATTGAATTTTCTAGTTAGCCTGAGTTGTATGTTTGTGTGAGATTTTGGAATTGCAGGATTCGTGTGATAAGATTGTATATGTTATCTGGAACATGGATTGTTCTGGTATGTGGAATGGCCACATACTTGAAATGTGGTGCAATAGGGGTAGATTTGTATAGGTTACACTGTAATAATTTAAGGTACTTATAGATTCTTTTAACAATTAGGCATCCAATAAAATATTAGCTTTTTATTCCTACCAAATTAATCAAGTAGTAACAAAATTTTATATGAGCATTAAGACCATTTTTTGATGTTTTGTCTTGTCAAACCTTCACCCACCTTAGATTTTAGTTATTGTATTTGATTTTTTTCCTCCCAAGGAAATCTTTGAAGAAATATATTGGAAAAAAAAACTTTAGGATTGCTTTAGATCTCTAAATTTACCATTTTGGAATAAAAGTGTATCATGTTTTCGAACGTGTGTTCCAAAAGGTAATTCGCTAGGCTATTAGCGTTTTGTGGTAACACGAAGGTGAAAAGTTTGGCTACTTGGTAATTCATGTGTATGGGAGGGTCACTTATTAATTTACATGTCTACTATTAATGCAAATACATATATATGATTATTACAGCTAGCTCCATTAATTGCTTTTCTTGATGCTGATCACTTCAGGTGCGTGCTGTCGTGTTACTCTACAACTACTACCAGAGGAAACGCCATTCAGAAGTAGAGTTTCTCGGTTTTGAATCTTTTTGCAAGTTGGCTGTAACTTTGAAACCAACTTTGATGGGATACTTGAAACTAATGCAACGATCTGATTATGCTGAGTTGGATGACCCGGAAGATCAGCTTTCAATGACTGAGAAAGCGATTATGGATGCTTGTGATATATCTTTAGTTCTTGATGCTTCTAAAGATGTTCCAAGTACTAAGGGATGGCCAATTTCCAAAGTAGCAGTTCTATTAACTGACCCCAGTAAAGAAATTTGCGTGCTGAAATTTGGTTCCATCATCAACGGGGTTTGGTCGATCATAGAGAAAGATATTGATAGCGCTAGTGTCATTTCTGAAGCTATAGGGAATGGGAAACACAACAAAAGAAAAAGGAACATGAAAAAACCCTTGAGAGATGAAACAAATGCCGATGAAGCTGGTTTTCAGCGGCTTGCACTCTCATCTGTTAGTGAAGTGACAGGTATTTCATCTTTTCCATATGTAGCAAAATGGTTCTAAGATTTTTAAGACGCGGATACTTGCTGCTAGATACTTTCTGAATTTTGTGCCCCAAATTATGTGCTTCATTTAGCTGCTCTCCTCTCTTGTTTATTCAAACATAAACTGCCATACAAACAAATATATATATATATATATATAATTTAGGGTTCATTACATGAATGATCCCCAAAGTATGTGTCATGTTACACTTGTGTCCCAATCTTTTAATTGTTCCACTTTGGTCTCCAAAGTATGCAATCTGTTACACTTTAGTCTTTAGCATCAACAATGTTCAAAATCAATAACGAGAGGAGGGGTATTGTCATAATTTTACAAAAAATATGCAACAAAATAAAAAATGAAGGATGAAAAACGCAAGTGCATGTGTTTTATACTAAAATGAAACAAAATGCATATTTTAGAAATTAAAATGCTATGAACTACATACTTTTAGGCTATGTGTATTTGGTCATTTTGATTTTGTTGAGGCTTCTTGTAAAATTCCAAAAATACCTTTTCTCCCGTTACTAATTTTGAATGGAGTTGATAACATGGATTAAAGTGTAACAGATTGCAAACTTTGGGCACCAAAGTGAGACAATTAAAGGACTGGGGACTAAAGCATAAGAGAAAGTATATCGTGGGGACTATTAGTGTAATTAACCCTATAATTCATCTAAATTATTTATTTGGAAAATAAGTTTTCATTGAAAAACATTGATTAAATGTTGTATTAGTGTGGAACCCACATTAACAAATTTGTGTGCAAAACCTGTCACAAACTGCTATCTGACGCTGTTCAAACACTGTTTTGGAGTTTGGACTATTACATTCGTTATGTTCCTGGTGGAGGTGTAGACCCCAGTTTTGAGAAGACATTGTAGACAACCTTCTTCCCTTGCCTCTAGGAAAATCTCCTTGAATCAGGAAAAAAACAGCAGATTTTCTTTTAACTTAGCCAAACTATGTTGAACTTGAACCTTTTTCAAGGTATGAATATGATGATTATCATGGCTGTCACCTGTTATCATTGCTATTGCTTTTGGGCTTTTGATTTTGGAAAGAACTTCCTAATGTCAAATATGATTAATTCATGTGGAATAGGCATTAATCAGAGTGATCTCATGGTTTTGGAGAGCCATATTGTATACTCCTTGAGTAAAGAAAAGACAGCTGCTCACTTTTATATTATGCAAAGCACCCAATCAATCAGGGAGGATCTTCAAGTTCCTATTAAAGATGTTCTTGAGAGGTTTGTGCTGCTTACTACCATTCTTTTGTTAAGCACCTGTTTGCTAATTTGTTGTGGCAGGTAAAGGGTGATATACTTTTCATCACATGAGTATGCCTTTTGATGGTAAGGTTCAAATGCCGAAGTAAATGCTATCATTGGAAACGAGAATGGGTCACATGTTTACTAAAATGTGCTCTTGGGGCATCTGATGAGTACCTTTAAATATGACAAATTAATTTTTTGCTGCATTTTGGGATGCTGTAACCAAAACGTGAAGTGCTGGATAAATTAACTCTGGTTTCATTTTTAATTTCAATATTTGTTGATCTGTACCTTTAGTCATTCAACTAAGGCTGATGGAGATGAAAGTCTCACAGTCCTCGTTCCTATAATTTGCCCCGAAAGAGGACATTAGGCCTGTCTCTTGCATGTCGGTTCATTGTTCATTATATACGTAGACGGCTGTCCTTTGTCCAGAAGATCTAATGCTTGGGAGGACATGCCAATATTGTATATATTTTACCAAAAATGTATTCTGCTTTATTTCAATCCAAATTAAATCATAACTCTATACATTGAGCTGGAGATATTTTGTGAGGCTGTAAAATTTGATTCTCCTTTCTTATGGACCATCTTTGTGTTCAAATCATTGTTTTTGAAGTTCCTTTTTCTTACCTTTTTTTTTTCAATGTTTCAAATCAATTTTGATGTGACTGATTGATCTATGTCAATGTTAGTGAAAGAAGATACAAAATGAGATTAAGGCCATTCATTTGCATATTTTATTGTGTTTGGCCTCAATTAGTTGGGATTGGGAATACATTATAAAAACATTGGTGCATTGCATTCTATGTACATTTGTTTCTCTCTCTTTTTATTTATTGTTTCCTATTCTAATTAAGCTTCAAGATTCTGATATTTTTGTAGTTTGCAAGGCCCATTGGTCAGAAAGAGTTCCTGCAGTTGGACAGTGACCCCAGTTGTTGAGTATTTTCATGTGCTTCCCTATGCTGGAGTCCTGACAGACTGGTTTTCAAGGTATCTCTGGTTTGATCAGATGTATATATATACACTTTTTTATTTTTCTTTTTCTGTTAGTTGTTAATTTTATGCTTTGTGCTTTGAGATTTCATGATTCGGTTGCTATATGTGGGTAACTGTAGTCATTCGGGTTTCTCTCAACTTGAACGCTAAACAATTGAACATTTATACATGTTTTCAACATTCACGTTATATTACACTACGTAAAATTATTGCCATATTTCAGTAGCCTAACATTTAGTATTGGAATAACAAGATACCAATCTTCTTAACTGAATCTCAGTCTGTAAATGCTTCATATCTTCCCGAAGTGCATCAGATTTTTCAATTTGTGTGGGGTGGAGTAATGTTGGGTTTGCAAACTGTTAGAAGAGGCTTTGCAGTGGAATGGTGTTGGAACCTTTTTCTGGAACTATACTAGGTCATTAGTGGCTGTGGAAGGGTGGTGCATGTCCAACACAGGTGGGGAATTTTTGCGGGGGCTTTGTTTAGGGGGATGATACAACAGCTTGTCGGGAGCATTGCTAGTGGGTAAGGATTCATGTGAAGGGGGATGGAAACTGGATTCCGGCCTTTGTGGAGGTTGGGATGGGTGAGGCTCTGTACAAGATTCAGCTCTGGGTTGAATCAGGGTCTCATTTGATGCTCAGATCAGCAGTATGGGAGGATTCAAGGAGGAGGTAGATGTCAGGCGTGGAGAAGGAGGTGTCGCGTGGCTAAGACGCACAAGGGGGTAAGTGGAAGAGGTCAGGCCTCTGAGTAATAGAATCATTTATATTACCAGTATTAAATGATATTACTATTTTGATAAAATTATTAGAAAATACATTCATAGGTTCTTGAATTTGGAAAATTCATATCACTAGACCTAGAGAATGTGCCATTAAAGTAATTTGTGGTTCTGATGTTGCGTCTATTATGTCATTTATGTTACACTCTTCATCTGAGTTGCTGTCACCATGTGGTGGCCACAACCACATTTTAAAACCTTGTGATTGAAACTAGTGTCTTGAGTGTAAGTGATTTATACAAGTCTGTCTTACATGTGACGTTGGACTGTACATAGCCATGTAATTCCATGCCCAAAAGTGCATCAGTCATTCTCTTCTCTCTGTTTATTCTAGCTTATATTTCTATTGATTGTAGAATATCTGTTGCATGTTACCATCAATCCATGGGTCAGAGAGCAAGCAGCTTTTGTTGCTTAAATTTGTCTTATTTAGTGTTGCATGAAATGTTCCAGGATAGTGTTCTCAAATAGTTAAACTAGTGTCTTGAGTGTAAGTGATTTATACAAGTCTGTCTTACATGTGACGTTGGACTGTACATAGCCATGTAATTCCATGCCCAAAAGTGCATCAGTCATTCTCTTCTCTCTGTTTATTCTAGCTTATATTTCTATTGATTGTAGAATATCTGTTACCATCAATCCATGGGTCAGAGAGCAAGCAGCTTTTGTTGCTTAAATTTGTCTTATTTAGTGTTGCATGAAATGTTGCAGGATAGTGTTCTCAAATAGTTTGCAAAATTTAAGGGTGGAATTAGGAAATGAAGGTGTCAACAGCTCTCAGCAGATAGAAAACCTCTGTGACAAAGAAGTTACTGAAGATGGAGATGATTCTAAGAAAAACTGTAATGCAGAAGATTCTGTTACCAACGAGGCCAATGAAATCAATACTGAATCCTTAGAGCAAAGAGATATTAATGGAAGCAGCATGGTTTGTTTGTCTGGTTCTTCTACTGAGCCACAAAATATGGATGTTGATGACCTTTCTGTGGGTTGCCGCCAGATTGAGAACAAAAGCAAGAGTGCCTGCAACATAATCAAAGTTTACCAGCACCAGAAAAGGATGACTTCTTCTGCAGAGAGTAATATAAATGCCAAGCCAAGTGGTGTCAAGGTTAGCATGTCCTTTTCTACTAATATTGTTTAATTACCATTGATTTAATTTTTTTTGTTACTTGTTTTTGCCACAATAGTCAATAACTTCTCTCAGCTTTTGGCAGTAGAACTAATAATTAGTCTTTGCTCCCCGCCCCCTTGGAAGCCAACTTGGGGCATGTTCTTAGTACAATCTCATAGCTGATGAGCATGTCAGACATTCCTTTGTTGGTATTCTACATTCCACATTCCTTTGTTGGTATTCTACATTCCACTTGCATTTGCATGGCCATGCATGGGGTTCCTTATTCTCCTATCCTCTGTGCCTACGAGGTCATTGCCTCCATTGAAGGACATGCCATCCTATCTATCTCCTACACACAAACTTTCTCTCTCTCTCTCTCTCTCTCTCCCTCTCTCCCTCCCTGTGGTTTTGCTTAATCTCAGTGCCTACCATAATTTCCAGTGGGCCTTAACCATATTGGCATGCCAATGACCACCCACAAATAATTTTGGGATTATGGAATCGATCTCTATGCACTTCATAACTGTTGATGGAATTGTAATTCCACGAACGAACTAAGCTCTCTGCCCTGCTATTGTATTTGGACTGATAAAACAGTGTTTTTAGGTTTTGTGCTATATGGAGACCTTGATGATTGCATTCTTAAAGTTGATAGCCTAGATAGAAAATAGTTCTCTTGGCACCTAAGAAACATGGACACATGACACGACATGTATACGACAGGGACATGCCTCAAATTTCAAAAAATACTGGACAAGACACGTGGGGGATACACACGAAATATATAATAATATATATTTATTTTATGTTATATATATGAATATATCATTCAAAGATAATAAAAAAAATGCAATATAACACTTATTTTCATAAATTTATATTGCTTCTCTTTTTATTTATTATTTTTTTTTATCATTATATCCCAAGTTATTTTGTTTAAACTTATAATTTATTTCATGCATTTCTAAGTGATGAACACATGTGTCCTCCAAGTGTCCGGTTGAAAAAATAGGATATGTTTTGACGAGTGTCGGGAGGTGTCCAACGAGTGTTGGTGGCCGATGTGGACATGCTACACACACTTCAACTTCTTAGAAGTGTCCGTGCTTCTTAGCTTGGCCCATTTGAGTCCATAACAACATAGCAGGACATATGTTTCTTTTCTCCAAAAAAGCTTTTGCTCATTGATCATATTGGTTGCGGGGTCGCGGCCAGGGCCAGGAGCAGGGTGGAGGGATTGGTGTCCCTGCGGCTGCTGAGGGCCTTCCAGAGCTCCCCACTTCCGTATCAGTGCCATTGCCTACCGGCGACCTTATGGTCACCATTCCAGATCCGGCGGTCGTCCCCCTACAGCTTGCTGATGGGGTTGAGCAGGTAACTTCCCTTTCTATCTATTCATTTCTGCCTCTGTCATTTATTTCTGCCTTTTCTATGTGCTAAACCCCTTTTCTTTCTGATGCAGGTGTCCCGCGAGTACGTGGAGGCCTGCTACCGGACGATGGCCGGCATGATGGTGCTGATCCGGGAGTATGCTACGGGAGCTCGGGCCCCGGTTCAGGTACTTCCCCTCGTGTTACTGCTCTGTATTGTTCGGACACATTTTCTCTTATTAAATTGTCAGAAAAACAAATTTTATATTGCCTTCTAATTTTTTATGTGAATTTAACAAAATTTGGAAGAAGATTGGCAAAATGGGGCTGCTCAACATTTAGATGTTACAGATTGCTCATGGGTGAAAATGAACTTATTGTCTATTGAGCAGGGAGAAGTGAAACTGTCAGTTCAGAGTAATGAGTTGTATTATGTAATGGTAATATTCATTGGTCATTCTATGTCATGAGTCTATTTAATTGTTTGTAGGTGGATATGGTTGACTCCGTGATGAAGCCTTCTGAGGTCAAAGATGAAAAGGCAGATACTGGAAACAAGACCTGCAACATTCTCTCGTCTGACCAAGATGAACTGCCAATAGGAGATTGTGCACCAGTTCTTTCCCAACTGAACTCTACATATCTAGAAAAACTACAAGTCACTTTGGCTTCAAAAGAAAATGCGTTGTCACAGACTGCCTTGAAAGTTCTTCTCAGGAAAAGACATAAACTGGTATTACCTTTTTAAACATAACTTAAACTGCATGAACTTGTTTATGTGTAGACTTTACTATCTGAGTTGGCTTTAAGTTTGGTTAGAGATGTCCCATTTTGAGCTGATAATTTGCGTTGAATTTGATGTCCTTTTTTGGGTCCAATGGTGATGGCTACACAATTGGGGGTAGCCCTCCCCTTTTCCCTAACCCCCCAGTGTTGGACATGTTTCTAGGAGTTTGCAGTGTCATGTTTGACACGGGTATCTAACATGACACGCCTCCTCCATAGAAGTGTCTGTTCTTCTTAGATTGTTTTGCTAATGAACCCATTGGATAATGGCATTAACGTTTTCGAGTCGATCCATATATAATCTGTTTCTGAGACAGATTACTATCATTTATTTTTATTTTTAGTTCTCTTTTTGCTTTAGATGTCTAGAAATATTCATTTATGTTGTTTGCTTACTTTTGTAGTCACGGCAGTTGCGAAGTCTAGAAGATGAAATTGCTGTGTGTGACAAAAACATCCAGACAATTTTAGATGGTAAGTTCTATTGTAGTTAATAAAAATATACAATATAACATAAATTTCAAAAGTTTAAAGAAGGATTAATAGTTATAAATCAACGTTGTGTTTCTTTTATCATTAGATTCTAATTTATTTTGTTTAAATTTGTAATGAGTTTTATGTGTGTCTAGACGATGGATGTGTCCAACAAGTGTCGGACAAAGACTCGCCACCTTAGAAGTGTCCATGCTTCGAGTCATTCCATAATTTTTATAAAAAAGTAAAAGTACACTAGTGTAGTCCCTATTAGATGGGGGTTTGGAAGGGGTAGATTGGGTACAAACTTGACATTTGGCATAATTTGCACAGTATCTACCTTCAGCTTCAAACGCACAACCTCAAGGTTAGTATGTTGAGTTTTAACCACTGATATTGAACAATTTAATAATGATATTGTGGAAGTTTTTGAAGTTTTATTTTACATTTAACCTTCAGCTTCAAACATACAACCTCAAGGTTATTATATATTTTTTCCCTTTATGTTATTGATTCTTCTAATTAGACATTGTCCTATATATAGAACTCTCCTGGTTAAATCAATGATTTCATGCACAACCAATTTTGTTACTAGTTGGATCTGAAATCATGATCAAGCTTTTGAAAACTGCATAAATTAGTGCATGATGCTTACTTTGTCTGTAATGGGTCCTTGGAAATAGTAAACTCAAAATAATTTAATTTGTGTATTTGTCTATTTTTGCTTCTAATAGGCAGTGAAAATGACTTGGCTCTAAAGATAGAGGCCATTATAGATGCTTGTAATGATGTGTGCCTAAAATGTGAAACTGAAACTCAAGATGCGACTCGTCAACATTTTGAAGGCCAAGGCTCACCTCAATACAGGAGGAAGAGATTGTCTGAGGCTGTCCTCACTCTGCAGAATTCATGTCAGGCAAGTTTTGGTTATATTGTATTATTTTCATTTCTTTTCTTTCTTTTTTAAATTTTCTTGGTTTTTTATGCTATCAACATTGTCATCTATAAATAGATCATCCCAGTGATGAGCCACCTTGGGAGGGTCATTTGATGCATTATGCATACAATTTATCAGTTGTTCATCTTTAGAAAGATTGAGAAGTTCTGAATGAATTTGTGATCTATTTGTGCCAAGATGTCCCATCTTTTACATCTTCTCCTATATATCTGCAAATGAAGCCATTTGATCTTTTACTTTGATTGATCAAAATAATCTGACATAAACTGAGTTGTATTTGTATGTGGTCGGATTCAGTGTCATTAATCATGTTCTGTACCAACCCTTATTGCCCGAGATGTGCCATTTTTTTTAAAAAAAAGGTACATGTGACCACCATTTTCATTCTAATCAAATTGCTAGTGTTTCGGCCTATCTTGATAATTGTGGTGTATTTCAGTTATACCAGCCTTCTTCATATGGGTTTTTGCCTGGTACACACATAAGCACATGCATATATATATGAAAATTTGAAGGGTTAATTGCACAGACCTCCCTCTGTTATCTAGAAATGCTAACGGAAGTTTCTTATGTCAACATATTTTGTCTCAAAATACCAAAAATGCCCTTGTTTATTGGCCAATGACTTAAATTTGTAGTCCAAGTGTTTATTGGCCGATGACTTAATATGCTTAACTGCTTAATTGCTCAAGTGTTTATATTTTTTAGTTTGTTTAAATATTTAATTGCGTAATTGTTTTTAGTTTAATTTATTGATTTGAGTTGGATTTGACTATATGCTTTCTTCTTGTAAATCCCTCTTTGAACATTGGAGCTGCTGAGTGCATGTTTTGTGGAATTCTTAGAATCACATATAAGGATTCTACACATTGCTCTTTGTTTTATACATTCTAATCAGTGACAAAATTTTCACTCACCAGGAACTGGATGATATATGCTACGAGAACAATTGGACATTAGCAACATATCATGTATCCCCGGAAGATGGTAAGATTTCTAAGTTTGATGCTAACATATGGATATCTAAGGCACTTTTTCGCATGGTACTGTAGGCTAACAATTTCTTATTACTAAAATCGACCTGGTTTGGCGAATATATCTTCTTGCTGGTGCTTCACAAATTACTGGTTTATCTCATTTGGGTTATATTTTGTAGAGTCAAACTAATGTCCGACAACTTCTCTTTTAGGTGGATTCCGGGCCAATGTAACTGTTAAGGGGCTGGATTTTGAGTGTTCAGGTGGAAGCGACATGTGCTCCACTCCTCGTTTGGCAAGGGATTCGGCTGCGGCACAAATGATTGTCAAATTACGAAATATGGCAAGCCAGAGCCAGTAGTTCTGGTTCATCTACTAAAGGGGCTGCTGCCCCAGAAGTTGCATGGTATGTAGAAATTTGACTTGTCATAGGGTTGTTCCCATGTTCTTGAGGTGGGAATTCGATGTAAAAATAAGGACACGAAAAACCCTATTTGGAAAGTACACCGTATGGACAGTAGAAGAAGTTTTATGTAAAAATGGCTTCCTTTTTAACTGGTTTGGGTTCTTCTATTTCACCTGGTGACTGGTGCATAAAAATTTCAAATAAATTAGCTGTCTGATTATTTTTTTTGGGTGAATATTTAGCTGTCTGATTAATAGTGTTAGGATTCTTGATTTCTCCTGCTGTGGACCGGTAATCGTCTGGTATTCATCTGAACTGCATAAAATAGGTTTCTGCATGTCGTTCCATAGAGGTAAATTTAGGTGCAAGATTATACAGGGAAGCCATTTAGTGTTACAGTTCATTGTTGGGTGGAAGTTTTTTTTCTCAAATCCAAGTCAATGATGCCCTAGAAATACACCATAAATTTGTATGTTATAGTTGACAAAGTTATTATTTCTGTCTCTCTAGTAAATCCAAAACAGATGTACCAGTACCATCCACAAGCACAAGTTTGAAGAAAGCTGAAGTGTTGTAGATGAAAATTGAACACAGGACTCGTGTTCTGGATTTCGGTATAGGAAGCCAGGAGAAATGTTCCATAGACACTGAACGGGAATTTATCTGAATTGGAAATGGAGGCAACGGGAGTGTTCAAACCTTACACTGTTATCAGTTGGGAATTTTTTTTTTTTAGTCAAGATTTTTTTTTTTTTTTTTTTTTTTGTTGTTTTGAGTTGACTTTTTTAATTTGAGATTATAAAGTTTGTTTGGATTGATGTTTTGACATTTTTTACTTTTTGAAAGAAAAAATAAAATAATTGTGATTTGGATGTGACATTTTGTTTTATTAATTTTTTAATTTATTTTGTGTTTTAGTGGTTATTTTAGTCCCAATTAACTTTGCCAAACGAAACCTAAAGCTGTGTTTAATGTGTGCTTTTTTCAGTTAGTTTTTGGCTAAAAGTTTTGACTGTTTTTGGCTAATAATATTAATTGGAAAAGGTTATAGTTGACAAATTGAAAAGAATTTACTCAACATTTTCAATAACAACAATAATAATAATTCCAACCTTCCCTTTTATTTTAGTTATTTATTTAAATACTATTCATTTTATGAAATGTTGCATCAATAACAAAGATGAAAGGAAATAATCATAAGACTCAGAAAAATCATCCAATCTTGGAAGACTAGTTACATTTAGAGTTGTAAGCGAATTGAATTGTTCAAGAGCTCGACTCATTAAGGACTTTGCTTGGTTCGTTAGGAACAGTAAGATCATGATCTCAAGTATGAAAAAAATAAAATAAAATAAATACATAAAAAATAATTATCTCATTAATTTAATTGAATAACTAATCCTATATTATGAGATTATTAATTCTTCTACTACTAATTCTACCAATCAAACAAGGCCAATATAATTGTCGGAGAAACAAGACCTCTATATATGCGTAGTGGGCTGGAGAAGCTGTAAGAAGTCCACATGAGTTTTTGCCTCTTGATCCTAAAAGCCACCCGAGAAGCTTCACATTTTCAGTGCAGTGTGTGTTGTGTGAGAGAGAGAGAGAGAGAGAGAGAGAGTGACTCTGAAGAATTTAAAATTTAAAAAACAAATCTAATTCTATACATGAATTGAAGTTCAACAGCAACAGTAAACCAGTTAAAAATTGGAGAAAATTTTATTTTGAACAGGGAAAACCTGTTAGCTCAAAAATTTTCCACACACTCCGCAAACTTCAACAAATAGCTCAGAATGGAAGATTTAAGATCATCCCCAGTTAGACTAGCTTTGGTTTCAAAAACACCCTTCAATATACGAGTGTATAGCCTCTCAAGCTGTGGAATGCCATAGTCCTCAGTACGCTCCACAAAAATACGCTTGACAGACGCAATTTTCTCAGAAATGTCTCCATCTGACATTTCGACATCTGGACCAGTGGCCTTTTCAGAAGTTTCAAGCTCAAAGGCATCGGTGAAGGAGCTTTCTGACCTTTGTGGATTTGTATCATCTGCTTCTGGTTCACAAAATGACTTTGGATCTTCCGATTCTGGAGCACGTGTCTCTTCTTCAACTGTTCCAGAAATTAAAACTTCTGGTCACAAGATATTCTCTAGCAATTCTAATAGGGTTTCAAAAAGTTCTGAGTCCAGGAGGGAAAAAAATCAAGGCAACAAACTACCAATATGATGGTTACAAGAACCAGCATATAAAGTTTGGACTGTAGATAGACACAAGGTCCGTGTATTGGGACAGCCAAAGAGCAAGACACGAATGTAAAAATTCAATGACAACTACAGGAATGGCTTTCTATACACAGTTCAATAATGATTACCTGCATGTGCAGCATCGACATTCTTCTTGGGACGTTTCAGTGCTTCATAGCTTCGGTCCAAATTAACCTCTGGTTGGAAATTACGAAGTCGAGCACTTGCTCTGGTAACTGTTGCCAGCTGAACAACCGGAGTTTCTGGAAATGAAGAGCCTGCCAATTCATCCGGCACAGGCACTGGACCCCCTTCAGCAACAATCTTTTCACAGAATGCCACCAGTGCAGGGTCCATCTGTGACAGCATTCCATGCACCTGAAACGAAAGAAAATTTACTTGACAAAGAAAAAATAAAAATAAAGTAAAATAAAAAACTTTAAGAAAATGAACATACTGCATCTCGAAGCTCGTAAGCTCTACTCACGATCCTAGATCCATTGTAGTCATCTCCATTATACTTCTGTACTAGAAACAGCAAGAACATGAAAAGTTTGCACAAGAAACAGAAAAAGCATTCACTAATAACTGTTGGCTAGTTTTCTTTAGTACTGCCTTCATTTTTCAAGTTCGAGAAAATCAAGGAAGTTGTACAGAATTCTTCTGGTAAAAGAATATGAAATAAACCAAAAGGCATATTGCCCTGATATCAGAGTCAGCAATCTCATTATTGCACCCCACTAAAAAGTTTTGCCACAATGAAGGGTTTTTCTAGACAAACTAATGTTGTAGCAATGATACCTGTAAGTTCTTCATGCAATTTGAAAGTACAAAGTAAACCAACACTCTATGACATTAGCATGTATATTATATATATGGCCACAACTTCTCACTTATAATGTCTTTTAGTGGTGGTTTGAGAAGGGCTGGTTTGAAGAACTTTTTCAGAGTATAAAAAGGTTCTGAACATAGAAAATAGTTTATAGAAGAACCATGAAACTAAACATTTCAGAGTCTTGTTTACAAAACAATAATTTAATAGACAACAAGAACGTAAAAAGCCAACTACTACATCCAAGAGTTATATTACTAAACACACCTTTGCATTGATCAAAATGAGATCAAAATCTTCTAAGAATGCTTTGGATGTAATATACTTTCCACTGTCAACACGCTGCAGCAGAGTTGCCATGTCCATGGGGTTCTGGATGATTGTGCGATAGTTTGGTGCATCCTCATCCAATACTGGATAATGAAAGGCAGTGAACCTTTTATCATACAAAACCCTGCACCACAAAAGACAAATAATAATAATAACAATAGTAATAATAATTAGAGAATTTAACAGTTTAGTATGTGAATGCCTAATCTCAATTCCGATAATACGGCATAACCACATCAAGCTCAAAACAAGCTTCAAGATGCCTATTATCCACTACAATAGTCAGAGGCTTAAAGACAGATGCACTCAATAAAACAAATCTACGCAAGAAAGTTCAAATTTGGATGCCAACGAGAACTTAGAGCAATCTAGTGAAAAGTGCAAGAGGGTAACAGAACTAAAATCATTAGAGATACGAATGCAACATCTTATCATTTGTTAACAGTAGAAATATTGCAGAATACCTATAATTTAAAATGCCAAGCATGAGAATTGGTTTTTTCACTCCATTTTTCTATTCATGGTCAATATCCACATCGCCTGCCAAAAAAACCTATTTACAGCTCTCTGTTGATTAACTCTCAAATCATTTATATTTAAAAAAACAAGTTCATGTGCAACACTCAGACCACACAATCAATAATGACAAAAATGCCAAGTGCAGCTAATAACGAAAATATCAAGTGCATCAACTATCTCCAAAAACAAATCTACCAACAAAAAATTTAAATTAAAAAAAAACCCAAAAAATAAATAGATCAAGTTAACAGAGAAAAAGAAAGGGAGAAAAAAAAAAAACTGAAATAATCAGGACTATCTTACCGGTTGCAAACATCACGAAGACACATTCGCAATCGACGCAGGGCGTGCTGCTCAGCTTCTGCCTTGGCTTTTAACTCAGAGGCCTTCGGGCCCGTATCTATTTTTGGTGCTTTTGGGAGTTCAGAAAGGGAAACTGTTTTCTCTGATTTTTTTCTCAAACCCTCTGATTGTATTGACAAAGCAACTTCAACCAGCCGGTCAACAAACATAGACCTATCTTCAGTCGATGGCTTGTCCAATTGATAGCTGTCAAGCAAAATGTAAATGTAATTTATAATTTATATAGCATTAAAATCTTAGTTAAAACTTTAAAGAAACAAGACGTAGTCCCTTAGAAATAAGAAAATTTGTGAAACAAGCAAGTTCCAATGAGAGAATTTAGATGACTGGTAGGAAACAGCTCAACAGATTCCATTATCGTTGGTCATTACTAGGTACCTAAGGAACGATAGTTTGTCGCAGACTCCAACTCATGGTGAACTGCATACTAAAAACGTTATTGGGCAGTTCTTTATCAGCATTAATAATCTATTTTGTTTAGAAGTCGGGATTAATAATTCACTTTGAGGTATTAAACATATATTTTAGTTGTCGCCTTCTTTTTGTTGTCCTGACTCCCCCTCACTTTGCTTTCCCTGCTACCATTAAAATGAGTTAATAGATTTTTAGGATGTTTCAGAGCAATCAATGATCCAAACAACTGACTAGTAAGAATGAAATGGAAGATCCTCCATATTATATTACATTGCGCTATGCGTTTGCCCAAGGTGCCACCAAGCAAGGACACTAAAAATCAGCCTTGTGGGTGTAAGAAAGCAAGCAGTGAAACAACAGGGCACGACTAATAGGCGGCATGATGTCATGTCAGTAATCAATAGCAAATTCAGACTAAAATCAGTAAGATCATGGATGTCAAATCACCTTCCCCCTCCCTAGTAGTACAAATCTAGACATCCTCTACAAATTAAGTTTTAAAACTTTAAGTCAATAAGGTTAAAGATCACTAGAAAATTTTAGCGGAGTTGGGCTTTTTGAAGTGCTTAAATAATATATGCCACCATGCCAGTTTGCGGAAGTGTTTGCACCACATTTTATTTTTCTGTCGATTGTGGCCTATACTGGCCAAGTTCGATTATGGTCTGTCGATTGAAATTATAAACTATTTTCAAAGAATAACCTTGACCACATTTGTTTTTATTATTTCTATCGACAGGTATGCTGACATGACGTGACAAGTATGCTAGTAACGTAGCATGGAAGAGATGATGATGTGACTTGAAAAGATTAAATAAAGCTAATAAAGATATTTGTTGAAATCAATTAGAAACCATATGCTAAAATCGAGGAGATCAATATCAAGTCAAAGCACAAAATCTGCAAGTAGTTCCCATGAAGATATGGGATATGGTTGAGTGGAGCAGAGATCAAGAAAGATCATGGATTGATAGCTACAACATGAGCTGGCCAATAAAGTATAAAAGCAGAGGACTTGAAGAAAGAAAAAAGAATATCAACAACTACCAATCACACTCGCAAAGAGTTTATCTAGGAGTAGTTTAACTTGGCATTTTAGGAGTAGTTTAAACCAATAGCTTTTTTCCAACCTCCACTTCTTTTCCTTCTGTCGATTGCTGTATTTCTTCAATTTTTTGTTCTTGTTTAAGTTCTTATAACTAGTGACAAGTGACAATTTATTCGAATTAATACATATTTTTTTTTGTTCTATCTCTTCTTTGCCTAAGTACCTCTAGGGATGTCCTTAATCTGTCTAAGGCATAGAACTCAATCACAAAGCTTGATTTTTATTTGTGTTTACTTAAAGATTGGTTTAAGTCCGTCGATCAAATCATTGTCGATTAGACTTGAACTAGATTTTTACCAACAGGAAGGCAGCATCAATGCTTTTGATTCCAAGAGCCTTATCTCCTCAACTATTTCTTTCTCTACAATATTAATGTTGCTCTAAATTGAAAAAGATAGAGAAGCTTATTTCAGTACTTGAAGATCTGAAGCTGGATATGCGGATGCATGCAACCCTAATGGTATTCTTATATTGACCAATTTAAGGGTTCACATAGATTTCAAATCCTCATTGCATTTTTCACCCTATTG